AGGGTCATATGGGTACACCTATGTTTCATCATCCCGTGATAACACAGCCCAAAACATTGTCTTTCCTGTCCAAAAGGTCTTGGCAAACTTCAACTCTCCTTTGCTTTTGTTCATTGGTGAGTTCCTTCAGGACTTTTTTTTAAAGATTTTTATTGGGGAATTGGGGGAGGGGAAAAGTGCTGGGGAATTGGAGAAGTGAAACAGACAAGTTGCTATCCTTTTGTTCTTCAGTCTGGTTGTGGAGGACGTCGCTTCACTGGTCCATGGTGGTATTATCATTGTGCTCTTCCCGGGTGAGGCAGTCGTTCGCTGGCCATTGGACGGCTACCCACGGCCACTCACGAAAGCGCAGGCCAGCTGCTGGCCAGCCCCACTGCAGCCTATCCCATTGCCAGCGACTCACGGTGGCAACTCACGGCAGCCCAGCTCCAGGTAGAGCTATTGTCATCATCTTAGCTGTAGAAGGTGCAGCGTCACTGGCCCATGTGGGATCCGAACTGGGGCCCTGCTGCTCAGAGCTGGCGTCCCAAGCCAACTCCTAACCAACGCACCACTTGGCCGGCCCCCTTCGGGACTATTTTTGCACACACCTTTCTCATGCCAAAATTTTCAGTTAAGATTTTCCTAACTGTTTCTCTATATTGATGTTTACTTGGCCCGCTATGCTTCTCACAGTCAGGAGACAATTTTGATGCACAGTTTGACAAATTTTTGCAATGTTTTTGTCATTACTGGCCGCCCTGACCTCTCTTCATCAGTGACACTTTCTCTCCCCTCAGAAAAACGTTTAATCCATTTGTACACAGCCGTTTTCTTCATGGCATTATCTCCATAAACATGGATTGATATGTCCCTGATTTCACTTTCCTCTTGCCAAGTTTAACAAGAAATGTAATGTTTGTTAGTTGCTCTAATCTCACACGTTCTCACGACGGCACACAAAAACAGGCAACAACAATAATGAACACCACTCAGCAAGACACTGCCACACGTTGACACGAACACAGCTGTGAGACGCTGATATACCAAGGTTATGAAACCTTACTGAGCTGTCTGTACAGTGCTGCCGATGTAAGCGCATGGTAGCAAGTTCACTAACTTAATTGTCATGCTTTGAACTGAAGAAAGGCCTAGGGGGAAAAGATGAAGCATTGGCCATTGGGATTTTACAAGAGGAAGAATGTTTATGAGCTGCTTGGGACATGTTTCCAGAGAGTTCTGTGGGAATAAGCCAGACCCCAGGGGATTAGGAGGGACTGGCCAGTGAGGAAGTGGAGGCATTCTCAGAGGACACCATTTCCACATTGGTGTTGTATTGGTCCTTTGAGAATATTAATATACTGGTGACACTGGACACTTCACCATGCTGACATATAGACTTGGCACAAATGGATGTGCAATAGAACAGCTCAGAGGCAAGTGAACAAAGAATCAGTCAGGATTAGACTGAACTGCCTCACAGGTCACAAGCCCCAGGGAATGCTCTCTCTTCTTTCCCAGATGGCTGCTCTGTTCCTGACATTCTTTTGCACAACCTCCAGATAAGATCAGGAGACTTACATGTGATTTGAGGCAGTGCCCCTTATCACCACATATTTGTGCAAACGTTTGGTTGTTAGTAGTAGTCCAGGGACATGCCAATCTGGGCTCTCGCCTAACTACGTTTACAGGTCACAATTTTACCGTGTCATCATGCTCCGGGAGGGGCAAGAATAACAACCAGCTAATGGTGGACCATGTTATAGCATCTGGGGTGGCCTAGACAAGCTCTGAGGTTCTGTAGGTAGCTGGGTTCTAATCCAGGGTGTGCCTCTTACTAGCTGTATGTTACCCTCCTGGCTGTTAACCTTTTTTAAATTTCAATGTGTCATCTGTAAAATGGGGCTACTAGCACCTACCTCATAGAACTGCTGGGCAGATAATGTGAGATGGTCCCATAAAGCATGTATTTTTGCACATTTCCAAACAATAGCAACAGCCAATAAATATTAACCATGACAAGAAACACTCACTTTTGTGATACAAGAAAGTGTGTAGTAGGTTGGATTCTGTGACAAAAAGAAGTTCTTCAGAATGAGTGTCATAATCTTTTCAAGTCCAATCATCCTAGAACAGGAAGAGTCAAAGTTCTGTTTACCTAAGAAACTGCTCACAGGTGACGTGGTTTTTCTTAAATTTCCCTTAAACATTAAAACACAAAGGAGATAGACATTTAGCCTGCTGCCAGACTCTCGCTTCATCATTTTATTTCTTCCACAACTAGCCCACATGTGCTGTAAATTCAAGTCTGTTTGAAAGCAGCAGTAGCATCCAAATCACTAAAAAAAAAAAAAAAAAATTTGATTTATTCTGATAAAAACACTGTTCCTTTGAGATGTTACTGGAGCTTTCAACCATGACCTCCCTTTCTGGTTTTACAAGCTTTTTCTTTCCAAGGGAGCTACCCTCTCACTAAATAGCTATCAGCAGACCAACCTCCTAATCATTCATTCTTAAATGAAATTTTAAAGGGTTTTAAACAGAAATGAGAGGCATAAACACTTTTTTAAAGGCTGGGTCATAATATCTTCCACTAGAGGGCGGCATTTGCTAAAATAAAAGGGATTTATGGCCACAGGGATTAACACCGGACATTCATGAGGCTGCTGGATCCCAGGATCTTGGCTGCCCTTAGTCACCTGCAGAAACTGGAAAACACACAACCTTTGAGATCCACCCCTGGAGATTCTGAATCAATAGAGGAAGAGGGCACGAAAAGGTGTTGTTTTAAAGTTCTCTATATTTGGTCACCACTGTTTCAGAGAGAAGTGAAAAATAAGATTTTAACTAAATTTCTCCCACTACTCACTGCTCAGACATACTGTTCAGATCCTGTTGAGATATTACCTTGGTACAAAAAGAGAGCTTATCTTTACACTAAGACCATGACCTTTGCCTTGCTTAGAGGGTGCTATTTAATGTGACTTCCAGAAGGATTATTCACTGCTTGTTTTCAGGTCTTTTATATGGGCAAGTTTACTCCAAAGGCATCCTACAAAATATTTCCATTTCTGTTTTTTATTTATCAGTAATGCCAGTTTTTGCTTTATCATAAGCTGTCTAAAGCACAATGCTTGACTGTGGGGCAAGATTATGGCAATGCTGCCGTAAATAAAACCAGAGCTATCAGTATGAGTTGCCAGTCAAATGAAGTACATAAAACATGTGAACAAACTTAAGAACAACTTAACTGGTGCGTAAGACATTCTGAGAACATACAACAGTTTAATTAAGACCTGGGGATTTGCCCAGCTGAGTACACGATAAATATTACCTACCTTGCCCAGGCTCCTTGGAATGGATTTTTCTTTTTTCTTTATTGGGTCTTTAAAACTGATTTGTGAGTCAGACTGAGGTAAGCATTCCCCTTTGTGTTTCATCAGCTGTGCTTACCAGATCACAGTGACATTTTGAATTGTCAAAGGGTTGCCCAAGTTCCAGCACAGAAAGTTCCCTTCCTAGACTTATTCTGAGAAAAAGCACCAGAGAAGGGATGTGAAAATGGCATCTTCCAGTCAAGTTTGTCGTCTAACTCAAGTTTATGGCCTTACAGATCCTGTTGTCAGCTTGTAAGCTGGACAGGTAATCATTAAAGGACCCCTCCCTGGGCACCTGGCCACACTGCTCGCTCAGGAGTGGTGCAGCCTCTTTCTGCACACCTTTCCACCAATCCCAAACCAATCTGTTTGCATTTAGACATGCAGATAACACTTTTCAAAATGTGCCTACCACTTTCACAGTTGCCAAGATTTGTCCCACTCGTACACTGGTCTGTTGGACTCTCCGGTGTTGGTAGGGACTAGTTCCTCGACTGTGACCTGGTGGAGGGGGTTGGGAATGAGGAGCTCTGTTTACAAGATTTTGGCTTACTATGCACATTTCTGTGTTCTAGTTGGATAGGATTGATCCACAGTGCACACAGACCAGATATTGGGTCTGCCCTCCACTACCTCTTTGCTGTTTTCTCTTGTATTGCTTACTCCTTTCTCTGAAACCCTGAAAAATCTTAGGTTGTCATATGAACAAGTCGAGAAAAATTAGAAAAGTTGCTATCCCCCTTTTTCTTTCTCCTAGGGATATATCAGTGTTGTGCTCCAAATTTTAATTTACTCATTACAAACAATACGTCCTCTCTCCCCTCTTCCATCTAAATGGAGGGCAGCATGGGACCCAGTTACCAAACAGCTGCTGGGCTCTTTAATTCAGGTTAATAGCCCATAACCCTCAAATAGACCTTGTGTGAGTCCTCGCCCCACCCACTCCCTCCAATGACATGAGATGACACATGTCATCTCAAGCTTTAGGAGGTCACATCCACAAACGCCATGTAAACACCAGCAGCCGAAATGGTTTCCTTCTTTGCTTATAATTTTTGGCAAATGATTTGGCTGTGGTTTATTCCAAAAGGAACTGATGGCTGTTGGGCATGATTTGAGGGTAATTCCTGAGAGGGGGGAAAAAAGGGAAAGAAGGGGCCTTTGCACTAGTTGAGGCGCAGCTGGAGCAGCTGGAGGACCCCCCAGGGCCGTGGACTTGGCAACTGCGGGAGCAGGACAGAAGCACCGTTTGCTGGAATCGCCTGCCAGCAGCTGTCCCTCGCTCCATAGGTCGCCGTAAATTCCACCACGGCGGGAAGACGAAACGGGGGGATTTCGGGAGTTGGGGGACTCTGGGCAGCCGTCACCGCCAGTCTCCCGGCCTTTCCCCTGATCAAATCTGACGCAGCCAGTCCCTCAGCGGGGTTAGTGGGACCTCATCGGGAAGGGGGTGCGGCCGCGTGTCCCCCCGCCCTCGGACAAGCTCCTAGCCTCAATCGCTCAGCGCCCCTAGACGCCGGACGCCTAGGCCTGGTCCTTCTGCCTGCAGGCCGGGCCGCGGGACCCGGGGCTAGCAAGTGGCCGGTGCTGCCCTCGGCCCCGCCCAGATCCCGCCCCTCCCTCAGCCCCGCCCCGACCGGAAGGAGCGCCGGCACCCGGCGCTTAAAGGGTCGGGAATGGGGGTGCCGCCACCGCCTAGTCAGCTCTGCGTTCGCTGAAGTCCGGCCACCGCCGCGCTATCGTCGCGGCGCCCCCGCCCCGTCCTCCGCCCGCACCGCCCCCCTGAACCGGCCGGCCGGGCCCGGAGCCAAGACCGAGTCCTCGCCATGCCGGCCCGGCTGCTGCTGCCGCTGCTGCTGGCGCTGCTGCTGCCCGGCCCCTGGGTGAGTGACCGGGGATCGTGGGGTGGGGACATCTCGGGGAAGCCGGGATCCGAGCCGGGAGCGGGCGGAGGCGGCCCCAGGCCCGGTGCGCCCCGGCGGAGGCTCGGGCTGCGGGTAGGAGGTGGCGCCCGGCGGGGAGCGAACGCGTCTTGGCCGGCCGGAGTGGCTGCTGCGGCCAGTCCCGCCGAGGCGCACGCCACCCGGGGGGCCTCGTGGGCCAGCGCGCCTGTCACGGGCAGCGCCTCTCTGGGCCTCGTGCGCTCCTGCGCAACTCCGTGTCGCCCTGGAGGCACCTCGGGGTCTCCAGAAGGCCCAGGACCCTTGGGAGGCCGCCCCACCTGCCGGACCCTCCCCCTAGGTGGGCGCCGACTCCGTCTGGCGCTGGCCGCGGAGGAAGGACTGGAAGGGCCCTGTAATCTACGGGAAGGGAATGTCTTGCGTTTGTAATCCTTGCTGGAACTTTTAATATGAGAGAACTTTGGGAAACGAATGCATCCGAGAGAAGGAAGGCATTTTTGCCCAAGAGCTTGAGCCTGCTTACTTACCTGCCTTGCAGGTTTCTTGGAATTGCGAGGCAGGCGCCTTCCTTTTGTGCACCAACACTTCATTAAGCAAGTTAAGCTGTGGGAATTGGACTCTTTAAGACCCCATGTGGGACAGCGGTAAAGCCGCTTCAAAACTTTAAATGAAAGACTCTTCTTACGGGAGATCACTGTAGGGCTGTCGGAACGTCTTCCCATCCTTTTCTGGAGAGGAGTGCCTGTTTTACATTTATTTAACTATTTAAGACCTTTCACTCAGGCTATGGATTTTGGCACGACGGCTGGGAGGACATTTTGTGGACAGACTTGGCTTTTTGTTTCTTCTGGTTGGAAGAACCTAAACTAGCGAGTGGTTTTTAAAAAAAATTTATTGTTCAGGATGTGGGTATGGTACATCAGTGCAGGTTCTGTTTAATGACCTCCACTGTGTACTCTTTAATATGGGATATCATGTACCCGGTGTCCAGGTGGAAAACTGACATGTGTGTACCTGAGCACCGCAGCGTGAAGTCTTGGGAGGTTACGCATTTTAGGTAAATAATAGTCCATGCTCTTGAAATAACAAGGATTTGGAAACAGCTGGGATAATATATAAGGCTACTTTTGTCAAATTCAGGTTTTTTTTTAAAGGCGAGTTTGTGCACACTTCACAGTAGAACTTGTGTAAGTGAAGTTTCTCTTCTCATTTAAGGGAAAACCCACTTTCACAACTAGGGTCAGGTTTTGAATTTGAACACTACATCTTGGACTGGTTAACTGCTGCCTGGCATCTGTTCCCACATAGGAATATAAACAGAATGACCAAACAAACGTATGGCATGGAAATCGATCATTTTCAATGGTGAGGGCCAAGGTGTATTTGGTTTTCTTTGCCACATCTTTCCATTTGCTGTTTTTTTTTCATTGGATTCTAATGTTTTAGTTATTGAATAATTTAGGCTTAAAGAGCCAACAATAACTATTTAGCTTTAGTTGGGACTATAGTTTCAGTTCATGTAAATATTTGTAAATTGTATTTAGAAATCGAGACGTCTCAGAGTTCATGGTAAAATATTCCAGACCCTTATCAAAAGGTTATTTTTTAGGTAAAAGGTCAGAACTGCACTCCCCTAATTGTCTACCAGTAAAAATGTCAATCCCCAAACATAGTGAGAATTTTTATTTGAAAGCTAAACGAAACCTATTGCAAAGTGTGCAGTTAAACTAGACAGCGGTGACATCATATTGAATGCACTGGCTGTAAAATGAGACAAACCCGAGTTCTAGCTGGTCACTTGGCAGCTGTGCCCTCAGACAAGTCATTTTACTTCTGAGAGACTCTGTTTCTTGATATGTGAATTCCTGATAGGGGGACGGCTAACATATTAACATGCCTGAAAGCACCTTGCACATCATAGATGCTAAATAAATATTCTCCTTACCCCGCCCCCACCCCAACAGGTGCTTTTTACTATCATATTTTTTTACACTGTATCTTTGCAAGGAACATGTTTTGATGCTGTTTCTTTTTGTTTGACTAAATAGCGAGTACATTGGAGCCAATTCATACAGTGATTTTCTTTCAGTGTGTGTCTGAGCCAGACATTGACTTAGCAGAGGCCGAAACTCTAGGCTACCAGATCAAAAATGTAATAACATCAGTGTTATGAAGGATTTGAGGCTGTCTTTTGTTAATCCAGAATGTGCTTAGTCAGTGAGTTTCTTCCTCCTTCCGAGACCTGGGTCTTATACCTAATGTTGGTTTGTGTTACATTGTTGCTGTCACATCATCGCTGTCATGTAGTCCTCATTTTAAGGTGTTTCCACTTCTCTCAAGTACCAAAGAGATCTGTAGCCTATGTGGCAACATAACTTTCTTCAGCTATAATATATACACTTCCTTTTATTTAGTCACTGTTTGGGTTTTATTTATTTATCTTTAAATTGAAAAAAAAAATGTGTCAATTACAGTTGACATGCAATATTATATTTTGTGATTAGAACCAGGGTTTTGGTTTTAGAGTGGAATACAAAACATCACTGAGAACTAAGGACCATGTGTGTACAGAAACACACTGAGACTATCATCTGAGATACAAGTCGTAACTAGACATGTCCTCGCTTATCATGGATTCTGATAGTTATCATCTGCATGAATTATCCTAATAGGAGATATCAAGTGTTTATACTGAGGCCACGAGGAGAATGTTTCATGAAGCTCATTGTTTATCAGGGCTGCTAATCATGAAATGAGACTGTAGTCGTCCACATGCGTATGTGTATTATTACATTAACTCACCTGCTCACTTGGTTTTCCACAGTAACATCGTTTCCGGGAACACAAGAGAAAATGTGTATGAGAGTTCAATGGCAGACCATATTCCTGACCATAAAACCAGTGGGCTATGTAAAGATTTCTTCATGTTTGGACAGAATAGCACCACCTGCACGGGCCTGGGGGTATAGTTGTTTTGCCTGTCTCAGATTTTAACTTCACTTTTTAGGTTGAAGAATCACTGGAAACCTCTTTGTTCCAAAGTAATCTTTTGATTCAATATCATATGTGTTTTATAATGATCAAATCTTCTCCCTAAAGAGTTGATATAGAAGAGAAAAGCCTAATAATGTATCATTTGAATGGATTCAGCTTTCATTATGCACAAATAACTCAGAGCCTGTAACCTAGCAATGATTAGAGTGTGATGCTGGCTTAAAAAATAGGGACAGTGAATCATAGCCTGTGAATAAGAAACATGCTTGTTGGCTATGTTTCCCAGGGGCTGGGGATTTTTTTTCTGTCTTTATCTTTACCTATATCCCATGTTTGGTTCCTGCCTCAGAGCAAACACATTCTTAGAGCTATTTAAATGAGTGCAACAGACCTTATACAGACTGGGAAAAGTAGAATTTAAAAAAGCAATCATAAGCTCCTCGCTTGCGTTCCTTTTTTCAAATTTAAGTTGCATTTAGACAGTTACTGTATCCCTTCTGATTACCTTATGATCTTTGTTCATGTACAAACACACAACAAATACAACAGTGTAAAAAATATGTGTTCTGTATTTTTGTTCAGGTTGTTTCCCATCACCTGTTAGGAAATGTGCTGAGTGTGCCATCACATTTTTCCCTTTTAGGAGCACTTTGGTAAACCATCATCCACGCCCAAAGTATTTGAGCCTTCTGTTCCCAGCCTCAGACTGGGGACTGGAGTCATAGCTGACCAGGGTGATTGACGTGATAATAAAGCCATGCTTTGCCTAATGATCACCCTGCTGAGGTCATATGGGATGTTCCCAGGTGTTCCACTAGTATAAGGGAAGGTGCATTTCCCTTTTTTTCAAATCTTTTGTGGGTTTAGTGCTTTCTGTATGATAACATGGAAAAATTTTTATATGATAACATGGGAAGATTCTTTTAATCCCTCAAAATAATCATAGTCATTGTAGAAAGGTTAGAAAGCATAAATAAATCTAAATTTAAAAAAACAACACAAAAACCTATAATCCTACTACCCAAACATTACCTCTGTTAACATTTTAACAGCTTTACTGAAATATGATTCACCTATCATACAGTCATTTAAAGTGTACAAGTCAATGGTTTTTAGTATACTCACAGAATTGTGCAGCCATCACCACAATCAATTTTATAATATTTTCAGCATCCCCCAAAGAAACTCCATGCACATTAACTGTCACTCCTCGTTGCCCACAAACCTCACAGCCCCTGGCAACCGCTAATCTTTCTGTCTTTATAGATTTGTGTATTCTGGACAGTTCGTAAATGGAGTCATACTACTTGTGGTCTTTTGTGACTAGCTTCTTTCACTTAGCATGTTTTCAAGGTTCATCCATGTTGTAGTATATGTCAATGCTTCGTTCCTTTTTAATGCTGTTAATATTCCATTATACGGTTATACCAGATTTTGTTTATCCATTCTTCAGTTGATGAACGTTTGGGTTGTTTCCCCTTTTTGGCTATTATGAATAATGTTACCATGAGCATTTGTATACAAACATTTGAGTGGCCATACATTTTCATTTTTCTTGAGCGTATATCTAGGAGTGGGACGCCTGGGTCATATGGTAACTGTACGTTTAACCTTTTGAGGAACTGCCCGACTGTCTGTAGCTGCAGTATTTTACATTCCCAGCTGCGATTTCTCCACATCCTCACCTAGTGGGCGTGAAGTGGTAACTCATTATGGTTTTGATTTGCATTTCCCTGATGGCTAATCTACCAACATTTTGATATATGTCCTTCCAGACGGTTTTTCTGTGCACATATTTGCATAGATAACATAGTTCATCCCAAAACTGAAACATATCATAGATCTTTTTGTGTCAATAAATTTAATTCTGCAACATTATTCTCACTGGCTATGTAATACTTTTCTGAATGGATATGCCATAATTTGACGCTTCAACCATGTGGATAATGAGGCTGTTTTAATTTTCATTACTATAAACAATGTGATAA